TAAGTGGGAGAACCTGCACAATTGGTGGCTGACTAAATACTTTTTTGCCCCACTGTATTCTCTAAGTCCTGAAGCAGCATGGAAGAAGTAACATTCTCATGGTTTTGTAGCCTCATAATCCAACTGCAGATTACACTGGAGTTTCATCGGGGCAATTAATAAAAATATTTTTTATTTATGCCCAAAAGACCCAGTTAGCACCATGACAATTGCCATCTGCCCCATGATTATTTCCAAGGATAGCATTCAGTCCAAAGTAATAGAGATGATACTGGGATAAATCCTTAATATATACAAGGAGTATTCACAGGTATCCCATGTATACAGGGAATGAAAAACAAGTTCAGAATATTACTGTTCTTGGTTCATTTCTGCATCATCAGCATTTAGAGAGATGTACATTTCATTTTCTACAAGCATATGTTCAATAAGTACAGCTTCATAGATAATATACTTCATAAGATGTTTCTTTAGTGAAGCATAAGCAAACGATATCTATACAAGAGAAATTCATTATCTAAGGCTGCTATATTCTGAATTCACATTTTTTTTTAGATTTTTTTATCCTGCCTTTATTATTTTTATAAATAACTCAAGGCAGTGAACATACTTAATACTCCTTCCTCCTCCTATTCTCCCCACAACAACCACCATGTGAGGTGAGTCGGGCTGAGAAAGAGCGACTGGCCTAAGTCACCCAGCTGGCTTTCATATCTAAGGCAGGTCTAGAACTCAGTCTCCTGGTTTCTAGCCTGGTACCTTAATTGGTATTTATCAACATAAAAATCATTTCCATTTTGCAAACAAAAGAAGAATATTTCCCACCTCACATATAAACAAGATTTTGAAACTTCTCATACTCACTGGTTTAATATCCAATTACTAATTTATGGTTAAATACTGTAAATTACTTTAGAAACGAGCTATTCATATGCCACTTTGGGTACTTATTGCTATTTGTTGCTTATTAATGGTCATAAAATGTTCCACAGCACTTTTTAGAAACAGCAAAATACAAAGAAACTACAAAATTTTAGATACAGTTATTTTAATTAAAAGGAGACCAAAACTCTAGAAATAGCAGTTCTAAGTTTACATACTCTTTACAATTACCCTATTACAAAACAAAGCAACTTTAAACCAAAGTTTAAACTGCAGCTGCATTTTTCCCACTTGCTGACCTTCAAATTCTTAAAGGTTGTTTTAAAGGAAAGATAAACCTGAGATCCTTTGCTTAGTACCAGTGTATACAAAGGAAAAAAAGAAAACATTGGCATTATCAACCAAATATACCAGAAGCTATACTGCTATACAAAAAAGGTAAATATGGCAAAGAAGATCTGATACAATCATACAGGAAATGAGGTTCTAGCACTGGAGATGTCTCTCTTCATTTCCAGACTGTCCTCTTTAGCAGGGGCACAAAAATGCAGCTCACCAACATCCATTTTGCAGCGTTCAAAGCCCCCATAGATTTGGTGGGGCCCTCAACATTCCATGAAAAGCGTGGTATGATTTTTGAGCTAATGGAAGTTATACACTCCTTTCTCTTCAGTCAGGTTTTTCAGATCTGAGTTTAATTGAGTTAACTGTGAATTTAATTTTTTTATGAACTTGTGTTTTTGCCATTTGTTATCTAGAGTTCTATATGGAGAGAGTGGGCCAACCACGTGTATGGATATATAAATAAAATACTTTATAAAATATATAGCGCTATTTCTAATATTCTAGCTCAGACAAGTAGAAATCATAGCTTCCTGCCATGAGAACAAGTTTTAGGTTTAACACTTTCCTCTTTCATATATTCCCCTTTCAAATACTAGGAGATAGGAAGACTACACTTTAAAGTTTGAACTACCATTGTTTGTACCAGAAAAATCATCTGAGGTAAGGCATTGATTGTTTTATAATAATGGGTTTCATAATAATTAAAATAATAAGGAAAGCATCAAATCTTTTTCACATTATGGCAAAGTAATATTACTGTTTTTAAAATCACTCAATGTTTTCTAATTTAAGATACATTAAATTATATATTCTTACAGCTTTTAGTGTGAGATCACATTGATAAACTAGTTCCCGTAGTTGTGTTAAAATATCACTTTTGAAATTTTCTAGATCATTTCTCTTTTCTTCAACTTCAGCCATGCTGGCTTTGAAATGTTCATTGGCTTCTTCAGCCTACAACAAATTAAACATAAAGAAATAAGTATTGATAGAAAAAAAATCCAGTTAAACAGCTCAAATCCCCTTCCTTAAATAACCCATAATAAAAAATCATACAAAAGCATATGATTCAAATAATAGATAAAAGCCAACATCAGCCTATGTGTCAAATATTTTTAAGTGATATATTTAAAGTTGATACTTTACTTTTTGGAGAGCTTCCTCTTCTAGTTTACGTTTCTTTTCTAGTTTGCTGATATCTTTTGTAATGCCCCCATTGGAGGTCATATGTTCCTCCTCAGCACGAACAGTTGTTGTTTTTGCCCTCTCATACTCATCTTGCCGCTGAACATATAATAGCTTTGCTTTTCTTACACAAGATTCCAGTTCTTGCTGTACATTCCAAAAGAAAAATACCTTTTACATTACATTTTACACTGTCCACTTTGTAGCACAGGATATTAATGTGTTAAATCAATATGATTTTGTAATTTCCAAGCACATTTCTACTTATTAAAAATTAATAATTATGATAAAGGGATCCAAGTATAGGGCAAACAGGAAACTATGATCCTTATATCACTAAGGGAAAAGAGGATGTGTAGCAAATTGTTTAGTTATACAATTTTGATATTTATTTAACAGATTACAATTAAGATGGATATCTCTCTGTGGTCACTAAGTGTCAAGCTCAAGAGAGGCTAACTTTTAAACCTATCTAGGTGGCAGCACCTAATTAGCCTCAACTGATCTACAAAAGGAAAGCAGGGTCATATGGTCAATAACTGGAGGGGAGACTATCAAGAGTGCAGAGTAGGCTGGTAACAAAAAATAATCTTGGAAAAAGGCAATGGCAAACCACTTCTGTATTGTCATCATAAAGGTACATGGAAATGTCTATGATGAGAGCAAGAACTGAGCTGGATTGAAATGAGACCTTCCTTTTTAATATAATGTCATGATTTATGCTTAGAAGGAAGTTTAGAAATTCAAATGGGTAAACAAGATGTATAATAAACAAAGATACCCACCATTTTTTTTTGTTCTCGTTGCCAAAGTTCCTTTATCTCTTTTCTTTGTTTATCCAATTCATTTTTTCTCCCAAGGAGTGGCTAAACAAGAAAAATGAACTGTGTAAGGAAGTATTAGTTGTGTGTTAGTAGTTCACATACCTATGAACAACTATGCACACAGAAATGCTTCTATGCG